TGTTTATGAGTATCATTATCTGCTTTTTTGTGATGAAATTTTAAGTTTTGACATTAGAATACTATCCTAGAACCCCTGCACAGATGTACCCCATGGCAGCTCAGTCTCCAAGTGGGTTCCCTAGTAATGGGAACAGGAACTGTCTCTGACATGAACTCAGTGGCTGACTCTTTGACCACGTCCCTCTGAAGGGCAGGCAGCCTTTCCAGGTCACAGAGGAAGACAGTGTAGCCAGACCTGATGAGACCCGATAGGCTAGGGTCAGATGGAAGGAGAGGAGGTCCTCCTCTATCAGTGGACTGGGGAAGGGGAATAGGGGGAGAAGAGGGAGGGAGGGTGGGGTTGGGAGAGGATGAGGGAGGGGACTACAGCTGGGATACAAAGTGAATAAATCGTAATTAATAAAACAAATCTAAAAAGAAGAATACTATCTTATACTAACAGAGTAAAAGCAGCTTATATAACAAATAAACAAAAAAAAACTCACTGCAATGAAAAGGTCTAGAAACACGTGAGCATTTTTCAGTGAAAAAAAAAAAAACATAACAACCAGAATTTCTGAGCACACTGTGATGGATTATTGTAATTATTGGGAATGATAATATTTTAATATGAATTTCCTCCCACCTGTCAGTTGTAATCAAGGCTGCCCACTACTCTGAAACAATCTCATTTTGCTAGGTGGCTAGCCTTGTGCAGCCTGAAGAAGGCTTAGAATATTAATGTCTGGGAGGGAGGGATGTTCTTTGTAGTTTCCCTTTGACTTTGTCTTACTTTCATCAAAGTGCATGCAAAATAAAATCAAGTCATTATATAATAAATTAAGACCAATGGGTGTTTAAAGGGGAAAGGTGTTCAGGGGATATTTTATTTGAACCATAGAATTTGGCATTTCTTTCCCATCATCATACATGTTGCTGTGGTTTAATTTCTGCAGAACTGAAGGCTGCCTCTTATTCTGAAACATTTTGAATTCTCTAAACAAAAACCTAAATTCTGGCACTTAGGTGAGGGTTGCATTGTAAATAATTATATGTATGCTGAAAGACACATGTGCTTGCTTTTGACGTGTACTGTGGCGATCACTGCTTTCCTACGCTACGTCTGCTGTTGCTAATTTTAATCTTTTTGTGTTTTTGCTTGTCCTGTTTTCGTACCCTCAACTTTTCTTTGTCTGCTTCTAGCTCTTTCTTCAGTTACTATGGATATGTTTGGGGTATTTCATTAGCACCCTGATATTGTGGCAACAGTTTCTTCAAAACTTTCTTTAACCAGGGAATTAACTCTCCCCTAACTTCCTCATAGCCATGTATGTACACTCCATTATTTACATTTCACTCAGTGAATATGGCTATATCAGTGTACAGGACAGAATAATTTCATCTTTATAATGTCATGCATTCCTTTATCAACTTTGGGTCATTCAAATCATCACCACATAAAAAGCCCCCAGTCTAGACCCACACAAGTCTGGGCTTTACAGCACAGCTGAGACTCTGGGCTGCTCATCAGTACCATTGGGTGCTGTGAATCTACTGGGCCTTTCTTTTTGTGAGTTTTATTTCTGGAACACAAAGGTAGCTGTGGCCAATTCAAATGGGCCCTGAGCAGACAGTTATTTCTCTGCCCTAAAAATGGAGTAGATCCTTCCCACCCAAGTCTGCTCATTTCTATTCAGGGACAATTAACAACATGAAGGACTTTACCTTTTCTGCTGTCCTAGCCATAGTCTTACACAGCTGTAAGACATTAGCATTTTAAAATGAGGTAAATGTTTATATTTATAAACACCAAGACTATTAATTCTGGCAAGAGTGCTTGAATATCTATAAATCAGACACAATTGAAGAGCTGAAATTCAGATTCCCTCACACTTCTGCCAAGTGGCCTCAATCAGAAGTAATTTTCTCCATGAGGGCACATGGAGCTTGGTTGTGAGCCTTTTCTGAGGAGATATTATTTGTGTCAAATTACGTGTGGTGATTTTCCTGAAGTGGACTCGGTGCCCACTAATCCATACCCAGGAGCTTTTCGATTCCTTCCTTCATTGGTGCTATTAATTATACTTGGGCCTCAAGTGTCTCTTACTTACCTTTTTAAAATGTTAGTTTGTGGCCACCGATTATTTGTACTGTTTCCTGTTAAGAAATATGCAGTAGAGAGAGGAGAGAAAGATCCAATCTTAAACCACAAATACTATGCATTTTAAGAGAACCCTCTTTCTTTGCTGCTGACCTGATGGCATGGTTAAAGAAGTGGCTAGTAATTTTACATTTGAAAATACACTAAGTTATATAAATCTGACGTTTACTTGAGGAGGAATGCAAGTTGACCATTTAGTCATCTTTTTGTATCTCATTTTAAATATTGGCAATGATTTCTCACACCTTTGGAACAAATGAGCGCTGACATCCTTTACCTTTATATTGGCTCCTCTTCAGTTACATGCTCAGACTTACAAAGCAATACTTAGAATTTATTTTTAAATCTTTGAATATATAATAGACTTATCAATTATAAGTTTTCCACAAACCTAGAAATAAAAATGAAATGTACATTTCAAAACTGATGCTGTTTAGGATCAAGAGCACATAACCTTGGCTTAAGGTTTACTAGCATAAATCAGAGATTTAGTGGTTGGTTATCTTTCGTATAATCACACAAGCAAGATTTTAGTACAACTATCAAATTTTCTAAGCAAGATTTTAATACAACTATTAAATTTTAATTTAATATATTACTGGAGCCAATTTACTATTCTGTTTTAATTATTCAGTAACATTATCCTTAATAAAATATCTTGCAATATTTTTATCACATCTGTTTCAATTTTAAAAAGGAAAATATATATTGTTAATTTTATTTTCATAATATGCATGCATATTCTCTAGGTATGAAAGATTTTATGCATTTCATATTTTATACATGAACCATTCAAATATTTATTATGATTGGAAGTTATTTCTTTAAGTAAAATTCAGAGTATATATTTTCAAAGAATAATATGCCCTCTAACATTTTATTGTAACTGATATTAAAGCAGTTATTTTACAAATTGATCCAATATAGATTATGCGAAAAAATTATGAGCAATCAGATACTTTGTTTTTGCTGTCTACAAAAGGATCATCCTGATTTTTATGGGAGGGCAACATATACTTTGGCTGATTTTTTGCAGGCAGATGATCAAGACACATACATAGCTGTACAGCTGACTTGCTAAATGCCTATGAAAAAAATAATTGGGGTAAATTGGACTAACCATTAGGTAACATTTTTGTCTTTATGAGCCACTTGTATTTCACAGCTTTGTTTCTGAAGGAATATGCTTATAACCACCATACACTTGTTTGCACAGTAAGGCATGATATATAAGAAAAGGTGTTGCAAATCAATGGCTTCACTCAGTGGTCTATAACCTGGTTCTGTTAGCTGATTTGCTTAGCTTTACTTTCCAGACTATAGAACTGAAAAGGCGATTAAAAAAGCTCTCATATCTAACGTCCTGGGCTGCAAAACAGACCATGTAAGAAGGCACTCAGGTATTTCCGCATCATACAAAAATTAGATTTTTTTATATGTTTTCTTTTTACCAAACATTAAATAAGTACTTTAGACAAATAAAAATAAGAAAGGTCTTAAATTTTGCCTTCATTAAATAAGTCATTAATAAATGTATCAAGTTCATGTAAGGAAGACAGTGATATCTTGTTAGTATTTTATATATGGCTTGTAGGTTTTATTATTTGACATAACTGTTCTTAAAAATATAAATGTTCGACTTAAAATTGTTCATAACAGATTAAAAACTAACATGAGAACCAATAATTTATTTATTTATTTTTGACTCATCAATTTCAGTGTAAGAAGTGTTACAGTTGCCGGAGCATTTAAGATGAACATTTCTTGTTTTGAATTAAGGGTAAATATTTCTGAAGAGGACAAACAATCTCTAAAGGGAAAGTTTTACTTGGGTGTCACTTAATATAAACGCATGGAACTAATTCTGTGCATGTAAATGTATCCTGCCAATTCAGTCCTGAGCAAACTCACATGAGTGACAATCAGCACATACCATAGATGGGCGTGTGCTGACCCACACAGATATAAAAATCGAGGCATTTATAATTACTTATAAGATTTCTCCTTGGACCCTCAAACTTTCTACTACATTTGTAAAAACAGACTGAGTGAGAGAGAGGAGAGACACAGAGGGAGGAGAGGGAAAGAAGAGAGAGGAGAGGAGAGGAGAGGAGAGGAGGGGAGGG